TAGAATTGGTTTTTTTTTGGGTAGAATAATATTTATAAGGCAACAAAGGGATGTATTCCATATACAAAAACTTTACAAAACAATCAAAATATCGGTAAGGTCCCGAAGTCCTTAAAAAAAGAAGATGATGACCCTTAATCAAAAAGCCTAAAGTATGGGATGAGAAGTCCTTAATCCCAACAAAAACCTAGGAAATGATTATAAGTATAGGTTTATTTTTTGTTGTTTAGTTGAGATTTCTATTTATTTGTTAATATCTATTTAATATTCTAGACATAGTAGGATGTCTAGAAACTCCTTGTACAGTTGTGTGGTAGTTTATTGTTTTACGACTGCATGCAAGTAAATCACATATTCTCTAATGTTTTGAATTCTAATACGATACAGAAGCACTACCAAAATTTTTCAAAGAAGGGTTATCTTGGCATAGGTTTGCTTCTGGTAGATCAACCTAAGTTAAATCGAGTCTCTATCATCCTAATTAAAAAAAAAATGTGAAACTCCGTACACCTTAAGATACAAAGAAAAAAGAAAGAGATTTTTTGAGGTCCTTATGCTCATTATCTCTAGCATTTGATGGACTGAGTATTCACCTTATCAATGTGAATGCGTTCTATTTGGCTCCTACCTAAAAGGACACCAAAATTGGATCCAACCATTCCATTTGTTAGACTATTGTTCTCTTGTTTTGGTTTGAGTACTTGCCAACCCCATGATTGTGGTGATGTTTTGAATCCCTGTGACTGTGGATTGCAATCTGTGATTGTGCATTTATGGTATTTTCCTCATTTCCCTCTTTTGCTTTCTTTTCTATTTTTTTTATTTCACATAGCTACGTCAATTTATGCCTGGTTATAGCAGAAAGGTTGGCGAATAAACTGCAAGTTAATTTTTCCATTTAGTAGAGTGGAAGATTCATGGTTTCAATTCCTGTTTTTTTCTTTAAAGGGTCATCATGTATCCTTTGATGAGGACTTGGGGACCTAATAGATATATTGACTGACTTATTAAGTTTTTGTATTCCAGTGGCACCCCTTGTGTTAAACTAAGTTTATTCCTTTTTCCTTCTCTGGAAAAAAAAAGATACTTAAATTTAAAACTCCTGTGCACTCTTTTCCGCTTATGCTAATGCTAGACTGAGTCTTCTCATCTTTTTTTTTTTTTTTGGAAAACTTCTCATCTAGTTCTTTTACCTCTCATTTATACCAACATCAGAGCAAGTTGTTGGGTGATATTTATGTTAATTTGCTCTTCTTCTTTTTTCCGGATAAATACTGCTATTCTTGCTCATTACTAACTTTCCATTTTGTATATGACCACGGGATGCAGACAGATGGAAGGAAAAAGGATTCATCAGTTAAATTGTTGCAGTTGTCAGCTGGAGGCTCTTCAGAATTAAATAACCATCTAGACTTTGTTAATAAGCTACGTGACCATTGGTATCAAGGTCGCAATGCTGTTGTTTTTGACGACCAGGTAAGCTTGATTCACAGAGTTGTCTGGACCTGTGTGATCTGATGTTCTACATAATTAATACTGTAAGATAATTCTTATGTTCCAAATGTATTGGTTCTTAATCTCTATGGGCACTGTGTTTACAGGAGCGAATTGTGAAGATGATATCATTTATCTTCTCACTTTCATCTGATGTCTTCAGGCCGCTCCTTATCATTTCTACTCCTGCTGCACTTCATTCGTGGGATGATAAGTTATTCAATCTAGCACCATCTGTTGATGTTGTGGTTTACAATGGGAGCAAAGAAATTAGGGAAAGTATTAGGAAATTGGAGTTCTCTGAGGAAGGGGATTCTGTCATGTTTCAAGTGCTTATAACTTTGCCGGAAGTTTTAAGTGAGGTGAAATGTCAAAATTTGTATACTTGTGTTTACTGGTCTTTCTGCTTAAGAGTTAATTCATTGTGTGTGATTTGGGTGTTCAAGTTTGAGCAGTTTGAAGTACCTTAAAGATGAGACATGCAATTGTAATATGGATTCAGGATAAATCTAGTTTGATTTCTTGTGGTTCTGCAGGATATATCTGTGTTTCAAGGTGTAGAGTGGGAAATGATAATAGTTGATGACTGGCAAAGCCCCAAAATTTCGTCTCATTTTAAACAAATTAAGATACTAAATAGCAGTTTGAGGATTCTTCTTGTCAGTGGTCGACTAAAGGTTTGGTTTCTCTCATCTTTTACTGGAATTGTTTTCAATAAGTTGTCTAATGCATTATCTTATGGACGTTTGCAGGATACGTCATCTGAGTACCTTAACTTGTTGACTCTGCTTGAAACTCATTGTATTCTTAATGATGACAATCACCTGGCTGTTAACTCCAGGGATGATATTGCTTCTTTGAAGGAGAGATTGGCAAAATATATCATAAATGGATGCAAATCTGAATCATTTAGGTTTGTCGAATACTGGGTTCCCGTGCAGATATCCAATATACAACTTGAGCAGTATTGTGCTACTCTAATATCAAACTCTCTATCACTTTGCTCACCGTCAAAGAATGATCCTGTTGGCGCACTTTGTAATACCCTTGTTACCATCAGAAAGGTTGGTTGATTGAACCTTTTTGCATCAGTCGTTGCAGATGGTTTGGTGCAAGTTCATACAGGACTGTTCATGCATAATTGTTGCATCATAGTTTCTAAATTTAATGATCTTAAATTGCTTTTCATGTCAGTTTTCTTTTGTCCAAGAGTCTGAGAGTTAGTAAAATTTGAACCTTAGTCTCTTATCAGGATTTTGGCATTTGTAAGATGCATAATGGATCCTATCTTATGTTGTTGGGGTGATTGTAATGTAATTTCAAACTCTTCCAAAAAAAAGAACATAGTTTCTCACTTGACTTGACTGAAAACCAATACTCCGAGCATGTCTAATCTAATTTTGGTGTTTCTCTTTGATTATCATGAAAGAAAGGATTAAGGATTTACCTGTTTACCATGATTGATCATGGGAAAACAACTATTTCTGGCTTTATATTTTTTTCTGATATCAAACTTGCATGGGTAACCTTTTACAGTGCTGTGATCATCCCTATGCTGCGGATGAGTCCCTCCAGTCCTCAATTAATAAGGACCTTGAAGTGGTTGAGTATTTGGATGTTGGAATAAAAGCAAGTGGCAAACTGCAGCTTCTTGATGCAATGCTTATGGAGATAAAGAGCCGTGGTTTGAAAGTACTTATTCTGTTTCAGGTACATGCTATACTAGCAAGAAGAGTATGAATATCTGTTTTTCTGCTGCTAGTGGTATTAAAGCTTGAATTTATCTTTATTTTCTTTTGGTACCAAGCTAATCTAGATACTTTAATACGTTTCTATATAAACTCCGTGCTTTAGGGCTTGCCTCCTGATGTTTATTGTTAGAGTGGGAATGATAAAGTTGGGCTTTTTCTTTTCTCTAAAATAAACAAATAGAAAATGCTCTCTTATACTGGAATCTTCAATCTTCTTATCGATTTATTGAGTGGAAAATCGAGCAGTTTATTGAAGTGTTCTCTAAAGTTTTTGCCTTAATATTCTATTACAAATGAAGGTAAGGCTAAATAAGAGAGAATTTTTTACTTTCTTAAATTTAGAAAGAAACTCAAAGAGAAATTTGGTACTTATTTGTAAAGTTCATTAAAGAGCACCAAGGGGTGCCACCCAAGAACAAAAGATATATTCGGTAGTGCAGAATTTGTAAAGTTTTCAAAATGTCTTTGATGTTTGTACCATCCACTGAATTAAGTAGGTGGCCCTTAAAGAAAAAAAAGGGGTTTGGAAGCCACATCCGAAATTCCATAGAAGAAGAACAAACATCCTCAAAGGCTCTTCTATTTCTCTCCCCTTCCAAATGACCTGCAAAGTAGCCAGAGGTGTAAGAGAAAAAAGTTTTGTCCTGCTCTTAGCACCTGAGATACCATTCAGGCTCCAATATCATCCACAATAGAACCAATTATCATTCTCTGCACTTTGAAGAAACTCAGGATTGAAAACCATGAACAATATGAAAATGTCATCTTAACAACAGATAATCTGAGGTCTCTGCAGATTGTCAATGGTGAAATACACCCACAAGCTGCTACCCGAGCCAAATAAAATAAAAGAAAGAAAAATTTTTCTCCTTCATATTACTTACAAGAAAGCAAAGGATCTATTAAGGGACAACCTAAGAGAGACTGATTTTATCGAAAGAGAACCTTTTTATCATAGGTAGAAATATGCTTATCTCAAAAAAGAAATATGCTTATCCTTCTTGAGCTGGCGAATACTAATATGTTTGTAGAATCAACATCTTACCTTTCTCAATCAGGTTAACATGGTGAGGCAAAATTATGAGGAAGCTCAAATCAGTAAAAGTTAATCTAAAAGTGGGGAAATAAGGAGGTGTTTAGGGACATAAGGATGAGAAACAATATCTTTAATGAATTAGTGCAATGGACAAGGTGGATTCTGAAAGTGGATTACTGGAGACTCAATTTGCTAGAGTATGCTCTTTTTTAAATAAAATAAGAAATATTATTAAAGAGGAAGAAAGTTATTACAAATGAAATTGATAGGATTAGATATCCTCCAAGCAAAATGCAAAAACAAATGAACAAAACAAAGAACATCAACAAAATTGACACTCCAAACAAAGAAGTATCAACACGGTTCCCAAGTCCATTAAGGAGAGAATGACCTTTAAACAAAGTACATAATATTTGGTACGAGAGATAACTAATTCTAGAAAAGTTGGATAGATTCCTGCCATAAACCCTTCTAAGTTCTTTTCTCACTTGATAATCCATTTAGGCAACTTTTATGGTCATCAGATCACCTGTTGAACATCATGACACTCAAAATTTTGTCATTATTATCCTGCAGAACAGTGAGCTGGACTTGAGCACAATTAAAAACACTACTCCTAATAAAGATAGAAAATAAAATATAAAGTAACTGGAAAATATAAAAAATAACCTAATTCTATAATTCTTAAATAGTTAGCTGCCATTAAGCCTATCCATCATCAACTTACAATGGATGGGAAAAATTCAGCTCCATCAAGTTTAAATCCATATGATGTAGCATGCATGACAGGGGTGACTCTCTTGCGGACAACTTACGTGATCCAAGTACAATTAGTTTGAGGACATCTCTTCTGCTTCACTAGATACTTGTAACAAATACCTGTCTTGTAGTTACTCTTGATGGTCGACAATATCTTTATCTCGTTGTTGAGATTTGTAGTGACTTGTAAACGGATAGGAATATAATCGTGAGAAATGGTAGTCCCGTATCCTTGGTATGAGGTTAGATTTTCAACATTGAAGTTCTTGCTTAGGCCCATCTCTTTTAACAAGTCAAAAATATAGCATTTTAGCTAATCTTCTTGAGAATTTTGGAAGGAGTGATGTTCTGGAGTGAAGTTTCTTGCAAAATCCCTCTAGAAACCGTCCAAGTTTGATGCCTGCTAATCATATCTCCTTCATTAAAATCAACAAGTCTTTTAAAAGCAATTCATTGTCTAACCCTAGTATGTATGTCAATCAATATGGTGAGTAAAGCTTTCATGGTCCATTTCATATCTAGGCGCTCCATAGGTGGAAAGCTGAGTATAACTTTCTGGAAGGGGGTGAAGATAAAGATTTCTAGGTGTCTTGAGGGTTGGAAGAGGGGTCTTTTCTCTCTAGTTGGGAAGGGTTACTTTGATAAATGTGTGCCTAGTCTACCACTCTCATTATCTTTCTCTTTTTAGGATTCCTGCTAGGATAGCGGAGAGGATTGAGGCTAGAATGAGGAAATTTCTGTGAGACAGATGGTGGTGATGAGTGTAGGGATCATCTAGTTAGGTGGGAGATTTGTTGTTGGTCTAATGTTTTGAGGGCTGGGTATTGAGAATCTTAGATCAAAGAATTTATCTCTACTAGTGAAATAGCTATGATGTTTTCCTCATGAACCAAACTCTATGACACACGATAAACAATATCTATGGTAGTGAAAGGAATGCTTGGGATGTCCTTATTGGAAGAACCATTATTCATTGGAGTCCTTGAAAAACTATTTCCCAAATCTACCCTTTGTTCAACCCACTCACCCGATTACAAGTGGGAAATGGTACTAGAACACTTTTTTGGGAAGATAGATGGTTGCAAGACCAACCATTGGCTAGCAAAATTCCCAAAATTATACCAATTGTCTACTAGACACGTCACTCGTGTTTCTGACTTGACTGTTAATGTTGGTGGTAGCTTTTTTTGAAATTTTCACTTCAACAACAACCTTTTTGATAGGGAGAGTTCTGATTTGTCGACATTACTGAACATGCTAAAATCCATACATATGATTTCTCCACCAGATAGTCGGTTATAGATCCTTGGACCTTCTGGCTTGTTCACACGTAAGTCCTAGTCTTACCTCAAAATAACCTTGGTGCCAAACGACATATTGCCAAGTCAATTTTGAAAGGTAGAGATTCCTCCAAAGGTTAAGGTATTTTCATGCAGGACTATCAACTAGAGGCTCAACAATGACTTACTTTAAATCCCTTGCCGTCACCGTGCATTGACCCCTAATGTATTTGTTATGTGCTTCAAAGGTGGTGATGCCCACTCCCACTCCCACTTATTCTTACACTGCTCCATGGCTTGGGAGATGTGGGCTGATAAATGAACAAGTTTGGCCTCAGCTGGGTGGCGCCCCCTACTGTGGATAGTTTTTGGGAGTCCTGTTTTTTGGGGGTTGGGGAGAGAAAAGAGGCTAAACAGGTATGGCAAAAGTGCTACTTTTGCTGGTCTCGGGTGTTTATAGCTAGCAAGAAATTTTGAATTTCCCATGAGCAGTCAATGTCGTCCTATGAGCTTGGCAAGAGGGTCACTTTCATGGCTTCTTATTGGGCAAAATCACATGGATACTTCTCGAACAACACTTTGGAGCTCCAAAGTATATTAAATAGGAGAAGAAAGAATGAGTTACAAAAAAATGAGAATAACACAGCCCTATTCTCATTTTATCAGAAAAATAATAATAATAAACATGTGTGGAGGTATTGAAGCTAGCAATGCATCTAGGAGCTAGTGGTCAGTCTGTGATAGTTGGCAGCTGGGTTGTGGTGGCCGATAATTAAGGCTGGCCCCTTAAGGCTTTATGTCTTATTTCGGCAACGAAAACCGATTAGGATTTGCGAAGGAGGCATAAGGTTTGTCCTTTGAGTTCAAATACCATGTAAGAATGAATAGGTGCATTTTATTAAGTATTAGGGTCATATGTATACAAGATAACATAAACAATACAAGGAAATACAATTAATTACAAAGAAGAAATATATTACTAATATGTCTTTTATCCAACGTAATCCATGCTTTCACTTAATGTACACTTCTTAACAATTAGACTAGGAAGTACTAAGACTAATAAGAATATAAATTCTACTCGTTATAACATTGGAAATATTAATACTAATAATATTAGAAATGCTATTTATAATAAAGATAGAAAAGCAAAACATGAATAGTCTGAAATATATCAAAATAAATTAAATAATATAATTCTTAAATGGTAAATTACTACTAAGCCTATGTGCCATCATTATGTGTGCTTCACGTGCTTTCATGGTTTAGAATATAACAGTCACTTATTTCTGCTTTGTGAGGTGGCTTGTAAAGATTGTACTAGAATTTTCTCTTTATTTGGGGGCAGGCTGTTTTTGCCCCTCAAACTTGGAGATTTTGATTTCTATTCCTTTGTGTGGTTCCGGGAGGAGTAGGGAACATTCAATTCTTCAGGGAGAGGCTATTTTTGTTGCCCTTTGATCTGTTGCTTGGAGAGAACACAAGAATTTTAAATAAGCATCCTTATTTTGTCAATGATATTTGGGAGAGGATTGTGTCGTTAGCTTCTTGGGCCTAATGTATTCATTTAGGTGGTTCCTTTTTCTATATTACGGAGAGAATAGTTCGCAATGTTGCATTGATATTTCAGTTCTATTTCGTGTTTTTTGGTACATTTTCTCTCTTCTTGAGGATATTTTCTCTTCCTCTATCTTGTACTTATCATTTTTGTAGTTTAATGTATTTTTGTTTCTACAAAAAATGCGATGCATCAATTCTTTATTGGTACATGCTGCTTGTCAGGCATATCATGATCTGGGGTGATTTAATATCTTTGCAATTTGAGCCCTTTCTTTGTCAGCATATGTTAATGAACTAACTTGACAAACCAGGCATCATCTATACTAGTTATGCTTGCAAGATTTATTTCGCCATATTTTGTCTTCTAAAATATGAATATGCTGTTCTATATCTTTATAGATGTACAACTCTGTCAGAACTGGAACTGGAATGTCTTTTAAGTATACTCTTTCCCCCCACCATCTGCTTGTATGTTTGTACCAGCATATAGTACACTTTTCTCATCTTCTGTTTCTTTTTTTTACAGCCTATTGGTGGCTTTGGAAGGGATTTAGTTGGAGACATTTTGGATGACTTTCTGCGTCAAAATGTTGGTCCTGATTCTTATGAACGTATTGCACGAGATATTGTTTCTTCAAAGAAGCAATCTGCCATGAACAGGTTCAATAAGGAGATTGGGAGATTTGTGTTTTTGTTGGAAACCCGGGCCTGCCATCCTAGCATAAAGCTGTCATCAGTTGATACTGTTATAATATTTGACAGCAACTGGACCCTAGTGAATGACTTAAGAGCCCTGCAGAAGATAACATTTGACTCAGAGTGTGGGCAGATAAAAATATTTCGTTTGTATTCAGCTTGTACGGTTGAGGAAGGATTCTGATTCTAGCGAAGAAAGTAGTCGCTTGATAGTGATCCACAGAACATTGGCCATGGCACCACTC